CACTTATTTTTAGAATATTTTATTAGATTTAGTAAAATATTGTATTATTTTCTCGTTTTCAAATGTTTTTATATCGCCTGTCATCTAAGCTTTTTTGTTGTAAAATGTTTTTTATATCGCTTGGCATCTAAGCTTTTTTGTTTGCAGTGTAGTCAACTTGGTAAACTTTTTTTACAATTAAAACATCTTGGATTAGTAGATTTCCCTATTACAAGCTATTTTCCTTTCTGAGCATAAATAGAATTATTTTTCTATATTGTGCTTTCCACCGCTTTTGTTGTCATTGTTCCATTGTTCCTTCTGCCGCGCTTTTAAAAACAATCCAATTTTTTCTGTATTAAAAGTATTCTTCTAACAAACTAGGTAACAATTTTTCCAATCAAAACAAAATTTATAATTTTCGAAACCTGATATCATGGCGTTTTTCAAAATTATCAAGCGAACCGTAATACCTTTAAAAATAATAAAAAATAATATTTTATTCTTAAATAATGCTAATTGAATGGGTCCGTGTTATTTTTAATGGGTCTGTATCATATTTTTATGTTTCCAGAAACGTTTCAAATTGGATGGCCATGATTTTTAAAACTGTTTTTAAAAATAAAATCTTTAGAACTTCATTTCTGAATTTATTGTATAATTTTTACACAAATTCATTTAAAATTGTATCCATATTTTTTATTGTTTGTTTACATTTTTTAGTTGCTAGTCTGTAAAAATAACCACAGATGACACAATATTGATAACTTTTTGGCAACTAACGAAAGTTGCCCTTCATAGTAGAAAGTTTTATGTCAGTTGCGTTGACTGCTATCTGAACTGAAGAAAACAATTCGTTATAACAAAGTTTTACTGTACAATAAAAAAATAGAACAAATACAATTTTTTTTACATACAATTTTGTATTAAAAATCAGGGTTCAGAAATACTCATGTACGAACACTTAAATTGATTCATTCGTAATAAATAGACATGAATAAAATTAGCAATTTCTGTTTTTTATGTTCACATCCGGAAATGAGAAGCTAATTTTACTTTTATTTTAAGCATACATAAATTAAAACATTTGTCTTTTTTATTTTAGCACATACAGTGAATCAATTAAGTAATTTGCCTATGTAAAATTTTATAAATTTTATGAAAAAACTTTATCTGAACAATTATGTTTAGCAAAATAAAGCAATTTGCTTGTTGTATTTTTTAAAGAATATCTTATATTTTAATTTTCTACCATAAAAAGTAAAATCGTGATATTAATTAACGAGATTTTTGATAAAATGTGAACGTATTGTTAATTTTTAAGGTCAATAAAGTATTTTGCTTTTTTAGGTATTTTGTTCATTTTTTTAATATTGCTGCATTATTTTATAAAATTTAATATTTTTATTACTCCTATATATTAGAATAAAATTTTTTAGATATTTTTGTAGTGGAACGACTAAGTTTGGACATTTCTTAACCGATTTATTATCTTATATACCTATAAGAATTTTTCAATATTTGACTTAACATGAAATCTATCGTTTCTTTGATTTAATTTCGAAAATAATAAGTAATTTTGAATTGGATACATGATATATTAGGAAATCAATGGATTTGGACCTAGAAAAAAATTTTAGTGGGGTATAAATCTATAGATTATAACAAAAATAATCTGGGTTTTTGGTCATTTTGTATTGATAAACAAAAACTACATTGCGGAAACCCCATCTATTTGGGGAGTACTGTGTGAATTTTATTTAGAATTGTATAATATTGATTCTTATTCAATAAAGCTAACACTAAGTACCATCCTAGCCACTCTAAGTATGGGGATATCACCGTATACCATTATAGAACTATTACATGCTAGAATTTTGATATTCTACCTCATATTTTGAATGCATTATTTTATGAATAAAATACAGTAGGCGTAGTAGTGTATGTATTAGCTGAAAAATATTGCTTTTGTGGATCTTAGGTGATGAGAACCGCCTCTTGTTGTAAATATCTAAATTAAGTATTTTTCCCGTACCACACGATAATTCACTTTATATTGTTTCCAAGCAACCTAAGGTCTGTTTAGGGGTCTAAATTTAAACATAGTGTTCTTTTAATTTCGCATATGGACTTTGGAGAAGATAAATGAGGACTTCAATGGTTTTTGCTTGGATACAAGTCGCTCTCCTTTGGCAGTTAAAGATTTTTAAAGACAACTCAGTGCGTTTTTTTAATAATTCTTTGTGTTATTTCATCAATTTCTATATTTTATATTTTTTTAATGATTGATTAAACATCTCATAATTGAATTTCATTGATTTTTACTTGTTCTAAAAATCTAAACTAATTTTTTATATTGGAATTGTCCTTTAAACATTTTTAACGCAAATAACTGCACAGTTTCACACAATAAGGATATGATTTTTGAAAATTACAATTGAAAAATACTTAACACGTGTCCTTTTAACAATAAAACAATATATTCCAAAAGCAATTAAAAAGTAATTTGAAAAACCCAACGAAATTAACTGGAAATTTCAATATGCAAAATACTTTATTGACGTGCAAATTCTGATGAAAAATAATAAAATGCAACAACAAATGCATTAAAATTTTTATTTTAATATTTTTTTCTTGGTTTTCCCATTATACACAATCTCTATTTTAAATTGGAAAACATAAATTTACTTTTTACCTGTTTTTTTGAATTTTATTTATGAACAAAAAACAAAATTCTCTTAAAAAAGGTAGGCAAAAAACTTAGTTGATTCACTGTATGTACATTAGGGTTTTGACTTTTTGGAAATATCAAAAATACCATAGCAAGAGCTTTTAGGGCGTGAACAGATGTTAAGGAATATGATATTATTTTTTTGGCGATCGTGAAAAAAGTTCCCGCACCAAAGGCGATGAAGTTTTGTATAAAGTTTACTTTTTCTTTATGAGAAAAATTATTATTTTTGCCAACATTTTTGCATTTGTATTACATTATCTTAAAGAGAACATTGTTCTTTAAATTCTTGTTTTGGAATTTTTACCCTAATGTACATATTTATAATGTGATTGGTGAAAAATAAAAAAAGCCAAATACTCAAATATGTCAAGTCTTCTCATCACACTCATTAATAGTTGTGTTTTGTTGCTAACGTTCAAATGCAATTTCATATAAATTTTAAATTTATAAACGTTAGGAGTTAACGTGTAAAAGTATACAAGTTAATTTTAACGTCGATAAAAGTTCTACCAATTCAAAAATAAAAATACAAATATTAATGTTTTCATGACAAACAATAAAAAATATTTTAATATAAAATTTAAATTAAAGAAAATTTCCAAATAAAAAAACTTTTCCAAGAAATTATAAATAATTTCAAGATTTAGCTGATTTTTTCTGTAGGGTGGTGCCAAGTCAGGAAATGTTCGTTTTGCTGCTAACTTTAAGCGTTAACAATCATTGATAGCAACAAAACACAACTAATATTTGTATACATGTGTGAGTTGTTTAAAAATGAAAAAGTAAAAACAGTTTTTATACACTTCACCTTCGTGAGAAGGGTATATATAAGTTTGTCATTCCGTTTGTAATTTCTATAATATAATTTTCCGACCCCATAAAGTATATATATTCTGGATCCTTATATGTAGCTGAGTTGATTAAGCCATGACCGTCTGTCTGTATGTCTGTCCGTCTATCTGTCCGTCTGTCTGTCTGTCTGTCTGTCCGTCTGTGTGTTTGTTGAAATCAGTTTTTAGAGGACTCCAGATGTCGGCGAGATCCGAATCTTCAATAATTCTGTTGGACATGCTTTTGCTATTTAAAATCAGCAAAATCGGTCCATAAATACCGGAGATATGAGCAAAAATCCGAGACAACCTCTGAAAATTTCATAAAAAAGACAATTTTTTTTATGCTTTTTTTATGCAACAACAACAACACTGCTTATTCATTGAGTATTTCGTTTCATTTGTTTGGATGGCTGTGTGTTTCATTGGCTTGTGTATATTGTTTTTTTGTTTCTTGGTGTATTCAGTTTCGTATGTTTGGATGTCTGTTGGTTTCATTGCGTTGTGTATTTTGTTTTTGTTTTTTTGAGAATTTCGTTTCGTATGTTTGGATACCTGTGTGTTTCATTGCCTTCTGTATATTGTTTTTGTTTCTTGGTGCATTCAGTTTTGTATGTTTGGATGTTTGTTGGTTTCATTGCCTTGTGTATATTGTTTTTGTTTCTTGATGTATTCAGTTTCGTATGTTTGGATGCTGTTGGTTTTACTGCCTTGTGTATTTTGTTTTTTGTGTGGTTATTTCGTTTAGCGCTGTTGTTGTTCATTTTGTTTTGCTATTGATTGATGATATAGTCGGGAAAATGAAATAAATATAAATTTTATGAAATTGATATTTATTAAATACACTATGGTGAAGGGTATATAAGATTCGGCACAGCCGAATATAGCACTCTTACTTGTTTTTTTTTTACAATCAACAAAAAACTCAACAAGCGCAAAAAAGAAAATTTTTGCTTTAAAATGTTAGAGTGCAAAATAAAACTGCTCATTACGAAAATATTTCTATATTCTTTTCTCAATTTTGTTTATGAAAATAAAAAACAAAATAATAGATACAAAAATAAATAAAGCAAAACCTGTTTTGTCTTTTCGTACATGAATAGGTGATAACACAATAAAAGTTATTTTCTTCATTTACATGAACGTGAGTGATAAATGAAAGAATATTTGGTAATCTGCTAAAAATCCATTTTTTTTTTTTGAAACCGGTTAACCAAGCTATGAAATCCGGATATACCGGTAAACCGAAAATTAACATTTTCAAAAAACAGGTTCACGAAAAACCAAAATAAGTAATAAAAATAGGTTTTCGGTTAACCGCGTAACCGGCTTATAGAACAAAGAAGTAACTTAATTAGTTTTTATATAAAATAAAAAAATATTTTTTAAATATAATTTTTTGATTCACAACATTTTAAATATTTTACTAAACGTAATAATTCTTTATTTAAAGTCACTAAGCCAAAAGTACGAAGAGTAGAGCGTAACATCTCTGCACATATCCCCAAGTGTTCAAAAGATGATGTTCTACGTTCACAAACATATCAGCAATTTATGCGTAATATGGAACAAATAATTGAGTTATTGGATGACACGGAATCACCGAACTTCGAGTCTGGTATGTAGTTAATTTTATGTATATAATATTTATTTTTTTAAAACTATTCATGCAGATGACGTTGATGAAAATATAGAGTGCATTTCGGCCAAAATGTTAAATACAATGAGCAATGACGTAGCAAAACTTAAGGCAAAAAATGTTCTGGATTTAATACCAAAAAACAAGCTAACCTTATTAATAAACTATGCTATGCGTAATGTTTATTTAGCAAAAAATTACTCTGCAGGTCCAGTAAGTAAATTTAAAATTGATTTGTTTCTACTTTTTAATATTATTTTCTTCCTATTTGAAATATAGGATGATGAAGATGAAATATTTGACGATGAAGTCATGGAAAAAATATTGAATGCAATTGAGGCTTGTTTACTTATTTGTAATATATATTCAACAGTGAATGATTTAAAATTCCTGCAAGAAGACAATATATCGCTTATTATCAAATTCATTCAATTTCAATTGAGGGAAACTATTTTTCCGTCATATGATTCCGTATATACTGTAAAAAGTATGAAGAAAAACGACAATAGAAAAAAAACAAAAACCCATCAAAACCACAACCGAAACCTTCATTTACTTTATTCTAAAGTCGTTGAATTAATGAAAGTTTTTGTAATGTTATTTGACAAATGCATTTTTGTAGATACTATTGTATTACCTCTATCTACTCTTGCGATTGAGCCATTTTTTGTGGATAACATCGATACATTACAGTTTGTATGTTTAGAGCTAGTTACAACGGTAAGTTTTATTAACTAAATTGTTTCTTCAAATCCTCCATTCTTGATATTCTGTATATAAGGAGTGCGCACGAAAAATCTGGTACATGTGTTTATTTTAATAAAATTTAAACTAAGAAGTGAATTGTTTTAAATATACTATATGCATAATTAACAACAGTAATGTTCAAGTTTATAAACATTAAATATCTTATAATTTTTGTTGATTTTATACCAATTTTTAACGTAAAATTCAATTTTGTTACTTTTCAGTTTATTTTACACATTTGGTCGATTTTTTTTTTAAGTTTTTATTTTTTTTTTTTAAATTAATACATAAATAAATTTGTTAGGATAGTTAGCATCAGAGCAGAAACATAATTACATGAGACTTTCTAATTTCTGTCACTTTCTTTTTCAGTCCACTTGTTAGTTTTTGAACGAAGTTTCTGAGGAATGTTCCATCTGAATTTTTTAAAAATGGGCTCATTTTGTTTCAGTATTCCTACAGTGTAAAAAATAAAATTTTTAGATGACAAAGGGACTTGTATCGATAGTCAACTATTCCTTTCATATTATCCAATACAAAATATTTATTGTGGGGAAAGTCTTTCCTACCACATTAATTTTCTTAGAGTGGAAATATTAAAATTTGTTACAAAATTATAAAAACCAATATTCGTTAAGCTACTTTTACACCTATCAAATATTTTATAAAAACGACGTGACACCTAAAATATATACTTTTTGACTTCGTTCAGGTGAATATTTAATTTATCTTTGTTATGTATCCTTGTTATTTACTTCGATATTTTCTGCAATTACAAAAATCATGTAAGATAAAAAAAACAAATACAAAAATAGTGGTTACGTCTCTTTCGTCAAATATTTATTAGGTGTGAACGTACCTTAAGTTTTACAAATTCTTCATTATTAGACAAATTAATAATACAATTAATAGCAAATTTGGCTTAACATGACTGAAGGTTGTGACGGATTTAGAAACTTTAATTATCCCAATTATTTATGCGCGTATATAATTTAAAAAGCACAAACGTATGTACCCTGTTTTCCGTGCGCACTCCTTATACTGAATTTACTGAATTTTAAATTAGAGGTATTACTGTATTTTAAATTTAAGGTTGAATTCTAAATTCTTATTATATATATATATATATATATATATATATATATGTATATATATATATATATATATAAGCCAAATAATTCGCGATGTTTGGTCGAATCGGGGCATCATGGAAGAGAATCACGAAATGAATCTTTATTAACTAAAGTTCAAAGAATTAGCCATATCTCATTCGAACTTCTACGACACCTTTTACCATTTATTGTACCTTGTATATTGAAGTTTAATGATCCCAGCCAAAAAAAGTGTGGAAAAAGATGTAGAATTTTCATCACAACTAGTAACACGAAGTGCTTCAAATTCAGGTGAAAAACCTATGAATTTTACATAAGCGCGTCATTGGAAGGATGTTGTTCATTTTTGATATTTGTATGTCAAAAATAAACCACATTCCAATGAAACGCTTATGTAAATTTCATTGGTTTTGCATCAAAATTTGAAGTACTTCGAATATGTTGTTTGTAGTGACTTTTCTACATCTCTTTACTCATTTTTAACTGTGTTTTCATATTTGGTTTATAAATGCGCAAAGAATGTAATCGCATTTTTAGAAGGGTTAAGATGTGGTTTGCAAAGTATGACATCAATTATTTTTTGTTGGAATGTTGAATAATTGGTGAAAATAATTTTTTTATGTCATTGGAATCAAAAACATCAGGCACCAGCCAAAATTTGTAATATAAACCAAATTTTTTGTTCCACCGACATGATGTGACAAATTCAGACTTTTCGCTGAAAATGTCTATATATGTACATTAGACTGACCGGATCGTATATGGGGAGAAAAAATGTCGGAATCTTGTTCATCTTAACCCCAAAAAATGATTCCCCTTTCCAGATATTGAGATAGCCGAAAATTGAGCATGATTAAAAGACGTTAACACGTGCCGCTCGTCGCTCAAATTTTAAAAAATCCAAAATTTTGGTCAAAAAGCTAACATATGAAGCTATAACTCCAGAACGGTAAATAATAGAAACACGTTTAGTACCTCAAAACAAAGCTAATATTGTACTTCAAAATTTATATTATATACATAATTCTCGTTACTTTAAGTCAAACACAGTTACGATAAATTTTGTCTCCAAAAACGGGACCTTGTTGCGGTAGGAGCATACTTCGTATATTTTGATATTATGTGATAAATGTTGCTATTTGGTAAATATTTTACTTATTATTGTTAAAGAATCATAACGTACATAGATTTAGTATTTCAAAAAGTAAAATTGGTTGAAAAATGTGAATGTTGTTAAAAATTCCCAGGCCATTAACGTGTCTCAGATCACTTGATTAGGAAATGTGGAAAAAAATTTAACTTATTTTGGAAAGTATTCTAATAAATCTATTTTATTACATAAAATGTATCTATATTTACTCGAATATAAGTTTTTGTCCTTAAAAGATATCGTGAACTTGTTCTTAGCTATGATAAAAAAAATAATTTTTTACACGGCAGTTTCAAAACTCCATTTTCAGTCTTTTAAAATTTTTGTTAAACAAATTTTAAAATTTTTGAAATATCACCAGGGTATTTATGATCAATAGGTTAGGGAATAAAACAGCAAAAAATTAGGTCAATACCTCTTATAGTTTTGAATTTTTTGAATTTTGAATTTTGCGAATTTCGCGAAAAACTATTTTTTTTTTGTAATATTTTAGAAAATATGTCGTAATTCTTCACTGTTATGCATTTTAAACAAAATATTTACAGAATATTATTTTTCAGATAATATAAATTATGTCCCTTAAGTTGTATATAAATCGGCATATACTAAGGCGTAAACTTTTGAGGTCAAAGGTCAAATTTTGCAATATTTGAAAATTCTCATTGAAACATATCGAAATATTATTTATTTGTTGGCCATATTTCCTAAAATTACAAAAATTTATAGTATATGGTCCAATATTTAAAATAACAAAAATTAAAATTAACCCTTTAAAGCACTTGGGTTCAATATAACCCCAAAGTTCAATTAATAAATTTAATTAAGGCTTTATATAACTTTGGGATTATATTGGACTTAAGTGCTTTAAAGGGTTAATTTTACCTTTTTTTTTGATATTTTAAATATCGGACCATATACTGTAAATTCCTGTTATTATGTAAATATGGCCAGCAAATAATTAACATTTAGATATGTTTTAATGAGAATATCCAAATATTGCAAAATTTGACCTCTTAAGTTTACGCCTTAGGATTTCCCGATTTATATATAACTTCAGGGACATATTTTATATTATCTGAGAAATAATATCCTGTACATATTTAGTTTAAAATGTATAACAGTAAAGAATTAGGACATATTTTGTAAAATATTACAAAAAAATGGATTTTCGCGAAATTCGCAGAATTCAAATTGCAGGTACAGCTTTTACTATAAGACCAAATTTTTTCACTGTTTTATTCCCTAATCTATTGATCATAAATCCCCCGGTGATATTTCAAAAAATTTAAAATTTGTTTAGCAAAAATTTAAAAAAACTGAAAATGGAGTTTTGAAACTGCCGTGAACAGGTTCACGATATATTTTAAGGACAAAAACTTATATTCGAGAAAATATAGGTATATTTTATGTAATAAAATAGTTTTATTAGAATATATTCCAAAATAAGTTAAATTTTTTTTTCACATTTCTGAATCAAGTGCTCTGAGACACGTTAATGGCCTGGGGAATTTTTAATAACTTTTACTTTCTTTAAGAATAATAAGTAAAATATTTACCTAATAGCATCATTTATCACATAATTTAAAAATATACGAAGAATGCACCTACCGCGACCAGGTCAAGTTTTTGAAGACAAAATCCGTTGTAACTCTGACTTAAAGTAACGAGAATTATGTATATAATATAAATTTTGAAGTAAAATATGCGCTTTGTTTTGAGGTACTAAGCATGTTTCTGTTTTACCGTTTTACCGTTCTGGAGTTATAGCTTCATATGATAGCTTTTTGGCCAAAAATTTGGATTTTTTCAAACTTTGAGCGACGAGCGGCACGTGTTAACGTCTATTAATCGAGTGCGAATCGATGGAAAGGGGAATCATTTTGTGGGGTTAAGACGAACAAGATTCCAACAACAACTGTTATTCTAATATACATACATACATTAGTAGGATATGACTTTTTAATGCTTTTGTAAATATAAAATTTTACATCCCCTAATCAAAAAGTCCATAAAAAATAAAAAGACACCTCACCCCCGCACCAAATGAGTTCGTTCCATGACAATTGGAGCTACGCTCCGGAACAACCCAAGTCATACTCGACATACCCGACAGCTGTATCAACCGAAAGGTTTTTCCTCAGGAAAGAACTATCGGCCACAGTCGAACTGTTACAACAACAACAACCAAACGAGTTGAAATTTGTTGATCGTATTTGTTTTGATCATATCTTTGATATATTTATATTTATTTTTTATTACATTTTGTTTTCCACTGCAGTAAAAGTACAAGCATACATACATATATTTGCATTAAATACATATAATATATATGTATATTATGTATGTACGAATGTTTATACATTTGTTTATTCTTTTGCTGTTATTGAACAATTGCTTAATAACGGTTCTACCTACTGATCATCTACTGCTTTTAAAGGGATTGCAGATGGAGGGAAATTTCTAAGAGTATATCAAATAAAATAATCTAAGATTTGGGTTCGAAGACAGACAGTTGATGCGTGAACTTTTTAACAATCGCGAAAAAATAATACCATGGTTTTTCATAATTTAGAAACCATACAAGCCATCAAAAAACTTCGTTTCGAGAAAAATGGCTTTGAAAGGTTAATGACATTTTACTATTTTTAAATAACTTTTAAACAAATCAAGGGATTAGAAAAACTAGATTCCAGATTCAGATAGAGGTTAATATGTTTCTCATTTAAATTGAATTTTAATGCCCCTATTATGGTTTACAATTCAACTCTTCTTTAGTTGAAATTTTGCTATTAGGTATTATCGATAACAACATAAAATTAAAAGTTGAAATTTATTACAACGAATTTGCAATAAAAAGATGTTCAAAACTTTGTAAACCATAATAGGGGCATAATTTTTATTAAATTTATTAGTTTACAACAAAATTCGAACTCATTCCGAGATTGAATTTGAAAAATTTATATGAAACACATTAGTTTAACGAATTTTGGATTATGTTTTGATCATTGTTTAAATTAATTGGGAATACATTTTAAATTTAATCAAACATTAGATGTATTTTTATAACACTGAAAATGGTGTATATAAGAGCATATAGGCTAGTTACATTATTTTGTTTTCAATATTCAAAATCTTTATTAACATCTTTCTTTTAGATATTTCGAAAGGAGCATTATGATAAAATTCGAAGCAGCATACTAGGTGATATTTTATCATCTATTGATCGTTTACCATCATCGAAAAGAAACCTTCGTCCATTTAAGTTAACTAATAATGGCGGGAACATACAAATGGTGACTGCCTTAGTTCTACAGCTAATTCAATGCGCTACAATTTTACCCGATTCATTGTGCTCAAATGATAATTTAAAGTCAGTAGATTATGAACAAAACGATGTTTCAAAACCAAAAAAGCCAAATGTTGATGTTGTTGTTTTAAAAAAATATGATGTAGCAATAAGTATTGGAGGAAATTTTCTCACAACTTTTCTTAATAAATGTAAATCTCGGTCAAACGAAACAGATTTTAGACCACTATTTGAGAATTTTATACATGACTTACTGTCAACAGTAAATAAGCCTGAATGGCCAGCATCTGAATTGCTGCTTTCCCTACTTGGAACGATGCTAGTACGATATGTTTCAGATAAAACTATAGAACAAAGTATTCGTTTGGTATCATTAGATTACTTGGGAATTGTCGCATCGCGATTACGAAAAGATACAGTCGAATCTAGATGTAAAGTTAACATAATCGACTCTATGATAAAATCTATAAAAGTCGAACAGGAAAGGGAAGGTGACCTACCAACGATTAATGTACTATATACTATATTTATATAACAAGACAAATAATAATTATATCATTCTTTTAGAACAAAATAAAACTAGACCCCGAAGAAGAAAGAACAGAATTTCTCCAAAAAATTCTTTTAGATTTTTTGGCAGTTAATGCTCAAGAAGAGAATTTAATATGGGATTATGCTCGACATTTCTATTTAGCTCAATGGTATAGAGATATTATATACCAACGACGAAGGGTTGCTGATGGCGACAAACGATATGCCTCTAGAAAGAAAAGCAATATTCGACAAAAACATCGAAAAGGTAAGATTTTATTACAGCTTATTATTGGTTTAACCTATGTATATGACAATACCTAATATTACCAGTTTTGTAATATATTTAAAACACTATAGCGGTTTTCACTCTGGGTAGTATATTTAATACCCTATTATATTTACACCGATTTTTTTATACACTGAAAATAATTCATGCTTAACTTTACGAAAAAAATTTCGTAACTACTTTTTTCGTAATATTTACAAAAATTTCGTGTATATTACGAATTATTATTTAATAAAACCCTTTTCTATTTTTACGAAAGTACGAAAACCTTTCGTAATATTTTTTTCGTAAATTTAAGCGAAATTAAACATAATGATATCAATTATATTATCATTAAATAAAACTACAACATTTTTATAACATTTAGGAAAAAGTATAATATAATTCATGAACTATTTTCACAATAAAAGGGAAAATTCGTGTGGAGAATAATTTGTTAACTAAAATTAGAAAAATTATTTTAAAATGAATAAAAATGTTTGCATAAATTAATATTTCTTAATTTTATCATATTTGTTCAAAATTTACTTTTTACAATTTATGTAAATTAATTTTTTTAAGATTTTCCTATATATTAGGCATGGATTTTTTTCCGTGCATAAAGCGTGAGCACCCTTTTGTTGTTTATTGTAAACTACACTGAAAAAATACATGCCTAATATATACGAAAAATGTCGTACATTGTACGAATCTTTCGTTGTTTCGCACCACGAAATTCTTTCGTAATATATACGAAATTTTACGAAATATTTTAGTATAATGCAAAATACATAATCTAAAGAAAATTAATTTACATAAGTTGTAAAAAGTAGATTTTGAGTAAATACGAAAAAATTTACGAAATATTCATTTATGCAAAATTTTTGTTCATTTTAAAATAATTTTTCTAATATTAGTTAACAAATTATTCTCCACATGAATTTTTCTTTTTATTATGAAAATAGTTCATGAATTATATTATACTTTTTCCTAAATTTTATAAAAATGTTGTAGTTTTATTTAATGATAATATAATTAATATCATTATGTTTAATTTCGCTTAAATTTACGAAAAAAATATTACGAAAGGTTTTCGTACTTTCGTAAAAATAGAAAAGGGTTTTATTAAATAATAATTCGTAATATACACAACTAGATTTTTTTTATTAATATCAATACAAAGAAAGCCTTCATGGCCAATAGATTTTAGCAGTTATTAAGTTTTTACAACATTCTTTATATTACCATTTGCTTGAGGCATTATTGCCGTTTCTTAAAATCCAATTGCCAGGAGACATTTTAACTTGTTTTCTTTTTTTTTTTTTTTTTTTTTTTTTTTTTTTTTTTGTTGAGGAAATGGATGTACTAAGCAAAAAAGATGTTTACGTTCTGTCTCCAAATTTATAATTTCAATGAAAAAAACTACATTAGACCATCCCACGGCTATTGCATCTCCGCTGCGGAACGACCGGAAATATACACGGTCAAAGATTGTCAATTGCAAATTTGTAATTTGAATGAAAAACTCTTCATAATTCCATTCCACGGCTATTGCCAAAGATTTTCTACAGCAGTATCAACAAAAATATTTTACTAAAATATACAATGAACTTTGCTTTTTTGAGAAACTGCTTCTTATTTTTCGTTTATGAGATATTCCAAGAACATTTATTTTTGACCACGTCTTATTTTTCACTTTTTTATATTTTTGCTTTATATTTTTGTAAATTTATAGTTTTTAATTTTTACTTTTGTTATTGGCTGTATGCCGATCAGCTGTTTATTTTGTTGGTATATCTACCAAGCTTATAAATAGACCTTTTTTCATGGTAGTTCTAATACAGTTGATTATTTATAATATAGCTACCATACTTAACATTGTTACAAGGGTACTTTTAGAATTAGTTTCTAAGCGCGAAAAGTTTACGAACTTCTTCATAAATTTCCTAAAAATATTTTTGCATTTTAAAAATTTTACAGGAGAAGTACAAAACTATTCAAATTGAAAAGTTTGTTTCTATCAACGAGATTTATTTGGAGTAAATAAACAATTTGTTTATTTACTACAATTTGTCACCTAAAACGAAAACGGCCTATCTAACATTTTTAAAATTTTTCAGGAGAAGCAAAAAACTATTCAAATTGAAAATTTTGTTTCTATCAACGCTATTTATTTGTAGTAAAAAACTTAATTTTTTTTTTACGATTTTAACAATATCTTACGTATGAAGAGAGAATGAGAGAAAGCAATAACAAGCAAAAATCAACAGCTCTATATAAAATAAATAAAAAAAAATAATAATAAACAGTGTAAAAAAATAGAAAAAAATACTATTAAAACACTTAAAAACATTAATCCTATTAGTGAACATAAAGTTTTTCTAAAATATTTTTTTTTTTTTTTTTTGATAAATAATCTTAAAAATAACCCAAAAATGACTGATTGCAGTGCGTGCAAGTCAATAATCAGGGGAGAGACGGGAATAAGATGCAATGGTGTTTGCAATAAAATATATCATTGTACAAAGAAATGCTCTGGTATTCGATTGGAGTTCTAGAATCAAGTAATTTTGTTAGATTTATTTGCGAGGATCGCATGCAATTTACTAGTGCTGTTAAAGTATTGAGTATTGGGTATCGATTATCAAGTATTTGCCCTATTTTTTGGGTACTCAATACTAAAAAGTAGTTACTCAATACTTTCAGACTTGTATATGGATTTAACTTATTTAAATTTAACAACTATGATGTGAAAAAATCAGCTCTACAACTAATACAGATCATATCATTATTAGAAATGCAACTCTTAGCAATATCAAATCAATGTACAAGGAATTTAAAAACTGCAATAATAGTTAAAAAGTTACAAATATTTATTGACGCTATCTAAAAAATAAATAAAATGTCTCAAAAGAGGTGTGATGTCTGGTCTAACTTTACTTAAAAAAAGGAAAAATACCTCGTTTTTAATTTAAAATAAAACCGTTAAAAGTATCTAGTAGTATTGAGTACCCAAACGAAAAGTATTGAGTAATCAAAAGTAGTAGAAAATTACAGCACTACAATATACATATAAGAAATGTGGATCTCGTGCTGGGGAAGTACAAGATGGGGTACGAATAAATAAACAAAACCTAAAGGAATATAAAAAGGAATTTGAATCATCATTAAAGAGCAACGAAAATGAAATAAAGCAGTTATTACTGACAATTGAAAAAAGATATGAAGAAAGACTTAAAATTATTGATAACACAACATAAAAACTTGTGAAAAAAATGTACATGAAATTAAAAAACTTTACCGTTATTTTTAATGTCGAATAACGGAACCTAATTTTTTTATACCACAAAAATGTACATTACTACAACAAATATCCTTGGCAACCCAGCAAAAAAAGTGTGGAAAAAGATGTAGAATTTTCATCACAACTAGTAACCCGAAGTGCTTCAAATTCGGGTGTAAAACCTATGAATTTTACATTAGCGTGTCATTGGAGGGATGTTGTTCATTTTTGGCAGCTTTGAACTACATCTGATCTTATTTTTAGAAGCAGTAAAAATCCGATATTTGGATGTCAAAAATAAAACACATTCTCTTAATGACACGCTTATGTAAATTTCACTACTCTTTCACCAAATCATGATGCACTTCAAATATGTTATTTGTAATGACTTTTCCACATCTCTTTCCTCACTTTTAACTGGGGTTTCATTTGTAAGGAAATATTTGGTTTATAAAAGAGAAAAATATGAAATCGCACTTTAAGATGTGGTTTGTAAAGTATGACATCAAATATTTTTTGCTGGGTTTTCACCAAAATTTGATGTACTTCGAATACGTCATTTGTAGTGACTTTTCAACATCTCTTTCCTCACTTTTAACTCGGTTTTTATTTGTAAGGAAATACTTGGTTTATAAAAGCGAAAAATATGTAATCGCATTTTTAGATGTGATTAAGATGTCGTTTGTAAAGTATGACATCAATTATTTTTTGCTGGGAAATTATTCGATAATTGCTCCAATAATTCCCGACTTACGACAAAAATTGAATTGTCAATCGTATATGGCTCTATGACCTCGGTTGTTAATAAAGATTTCATTAAACAAAAAAAAAACATTTTGGTCTTATCAATATTTCCCCACCCAGCAAAAAAAGTGTGGAAAAAGGTGTAGTATTTTCATCACAACCCAGTAAAAAAAAGTGTTGAAAAAGATGTAGAATTTTCATCACAACTAGTAACCTATGACTTTTATATTAGCGTGTACATTACGCTTAGCGTGTCATTGAAAGAATGTGGTTTATTTTTTACATCCAAATATCGAATTTTTACTGCTTCTAAAATAAGATTACATGCAGTTCGAAGTTTTCAGAAATGAACAACATTCCTCCAATGACACGCTAATGTAAAATTCATAGGTTTTTCACACGAATTTGAAGCACTTCGGGTTACTAGTTATCAGCAAAAAATAGTTGATGTCATACTTTACAAACGTCATCTTAATCACATCTAAAAATGTGATTACATCCCAACAAAAAAACATTTATCATAATCGATAATGTCCTAATAAAATACCTCTATAATAATACTCAAAAATGTGTCCGTACATTATAATTCCAACCGAACTCAAAATTTCGTTCGGTACCGAACCCGAACTTCTGTATATTTTAAAGTTTGGCCGAAGCCTAACTGTTATGAACCAAAAAGAAAAACATAATAAAAAAATGGCATCTTTTACACTGGTAGAGCGGGGGAAGATATAAAAAGCTACCCAGCTAAAAGCGATCATATATGATTATATATGGATCATATATGAATCATATATGGACACATACAGTAGTGGCCATGAGGTCAGCACATTTAGTATCTTTTAAATATAACATCAAATATTTCCTATAGTTCTTAACTTTTTTAATAAATTATTTTTTATGCATGTGGGACATGTAGGACATGTGTTCCTTCAAGGATCACGACACATTACGTTATGTTCCACTACTTTGT